CCCCGCCCCTGCCCCGCCCAAGCGGGAGCCCCCCCCAAAGCTCCGCCTCAGCCCCACGCCCACTCAGTCCCATTCTCTCGGGTCGCAGCATCAACGATTTTCTTCAACTGGGTCATGAGAAAACGAGTTTGAAAACCTGCCGGGTTGGAGCCAACCCTGAGCCCCCAGGGCTGACTGGTCTGCCGGGATTCCACTGGCCTTTGGATCGGGCCCTTTCTCAGCGGCCTTGCGAGCCCAGTACCCGTCCTTTACCTTCTCCCCTTCACGCTGGTTTTCTTGTGTCACATTTCCCAGGGCCAGGACCCAGCCTCGCTGCCCAGAGGCGAGTTTGAAAACCTGCCGGGTTGGAGCCAACCCTGAGCCCCCAGGGCTGACTGGTCTGCCGGGATTCCACTGGCCTTTGGATCGGGCCCTTTCTCAGCGGCCTTGCGAGCCCAGTACCCGTCCTTTACCTTCTCCCCTTCACGCTGGTTTTCTTGTGTCACATTTCCCAGGGCCAGGACCCAGCCTCGCTGCCCAGAGGCATTTAGCACCCGGCAGAGGTGTGTGTCCAATCAAGGCGCAGACATTCCCAGGGAAAGCTGGGATCAGGGCCCCCTCTCATTTTTTTCCATCCCTGTGCGGAATAAATTTTGCTCTGTGCATCATGGCACGTACGGACGTGCACCACCAGCAGGAACACACGCTGCCAATGCAGGCACTCGGCTAATCATCTGAGTGGCACCTGAATCTCTCCTGGGTGGCCGCCCAAGCGCACAGCTTACAGGGAACACAGGCTGGGATCGTGGCCTTGAAACCCTGCCAGCCGGGAGTCCTGCTGCCCCTTTGGCCTGGCAGGGTCCGATGACAAATAAAAAGGCCGGCTTCCTACCCCCCTGCCCCACTAATTCCCCTTGGGCGTAAGAACCACGCCAGGCCCTCTGTGGTAGAACAAAATCCACCTGCCCAGTGCGAATGGGAATAGACCGACGCCAGGTCACTGCCCAGAGCTAAGATCGCTCCGAAGGTCGCACGGCATAAGCACTCGTCCGCGTCACTAATGTAGCTCTCACTCTATGTGTGCACACCCACATGTGTACACACACGCCTCCCCTCATGTGCGCACACACACTTCCCCGTGTGCGCACACACACTTCCCCTTGTGCGCACACACACGCCTCCCCAAGTGAAAACACACACGCCTCCCCAAGGCATGCACACACAGACCTCCCCTCATGTGCACACACACACACTTCCCTTGGGTACGCACACACGCCTCCCTTTGTGCACACACACACTCCTCCGCACATATGCACACACACCTCTGCACATGCGCGCGCACACGCACATGCTTCCCTTCATGTGCACACAGGCCACACACACATGCCTCCCTTTGTGCACGCACACATGCCTCCCTTTGTGCACACACACACACCTCCGCACATATGCACACACACACGCTTCCCCTCATGTGCACACACACCTCTCCCCTTGTGCACACACACACCTCCCTTCATGCGCACGCACACGCCTTCCTTCGTGTGCACACACATATCTGCACTTATGAACAAAAGCACCTCCCCACGTGCGCGCACACACGAGACAAGAGGGAGCCATCCGATGTCACTTTTCTGACCCCGGCCACCCAGTAACACCCGGCTACGACGAGCTGGGGCGAGGAGCTGCCCTGGCAGATCGACCATCGGCTCCTCGTGTCTGGCTTCTCCGCCTCCGGCAACGGCCAAGACCTGATGCTCCAGACAAAGGAGATACAAGAATTCCACACGGCACCTGGCTGACAGGCGAGGTGAGGAGGGAAGGAATTTCCCTCCTGCCAGTGATCAGTCCATGCCCTGAAACCTGAGACCCACGTTACCGGAGCTTGCACGGCTTCAGCGCACGGGCGGGTGAACAGGACCCAGCCTGGGAGGCAGAATCCATAGGGAAGAATGGGTCAGTGGTTAGGACTCTAGCGTGGGATTGGGTTGGCAGAGCTCAACTCCCTGCTCGGATACAGACTGCGAGATCTCGGGCGAGTCCGTGAACTGCTCTGTGCCTCAGTTTCCCCATCTGTGCAGGCGGGAGAAGAGCCCTGCCGTGCCTGCCAGGGGACTGTGAGATAAATGCGCTATAGCTAGGTTATTCCTGGCTCTGCCCTGAATGCTCTGCGTGCACAAAGCGCTGCCCTTTTAGCTGCAAAGTGAGGCTGATGACAATGGCTGGAGACCTATGGACACAGTGAGTCACATCAACATGCTGAGCTTTGCCTCCTGCAGCAGTGAGTTCCACAGATTGACGCCCCTCTGCATCAGATTCCAGGCCTCCTGCCACAGCCAAACCTACCCAGAAACCCTGAGATGATCCCTCCTTACCTGCTGATCCAGCCTCCATGCACAGAGCCCATTTTGCTCCTTGCTTTGAGGGGGAAGCTCCTTGCTTCACTTCTTCAGAGGACTTCCTCTTCCTCTCACATCTGGGCTGTCCCGAGAGTCCCCGGACTTGTTAAGGTGTCCTCGCCTCCCTGCACGAAAAATAATAAGAGGCCAAAGTCAGCTGCCGCAGAAGCCCTTCACCTCCACCTTAAATACTGACCAGGCAACTCTGGTTTATAGGTGTCTCTGCTCTGGAATCTAGTCCCGAGCCCTTTGGGGAGCTTTTTCTAGTCCAAGGCACCTGGGGAAAGTAAGGTCGCAAACTGGCCAGCGCGTGGGGGCACCACTGCTCTCTGCTGGCGGGAACTGGGAACTGCTGGCTGTGTGTCTTAGACACCGTACTGCAGTGAGGATCTGCCTTTAGCTCCAGTGGCGGAGGCCCATGCTTCCAGAGGAAGAGGTTGGGATCAGTAACCCTAAGGCTGGCACGAGGGTCCAGTGCAGCATCGATGGCCCCCGAGCATCCAAACATCAGCAGCCAGGCTTCAAAAATCTGTGGGGGGAGGGGGGTGATGCTTTTTTGATGCTTTTTGTCCAGCGTCAGGGATCGTATTCTTTCCTTCCGGGTTTAGAGCCTTTAAGGGGGGATCACACCTCCCCCCTTCTATCTCCACCCACGAGGGTTAGGAAAGGCCTTTTCGTATGGAAATAACAGCTGAGCGCTCCCCATCCCCCGACTCGGGGAGCGGGGGCTTTAAGGAAAAAAACAAACATTGCGAGACCCCCCAGGAACAGGGGCCCCACCAGGGCTGCTGCGATTCTGGGCAGGAATGTGCCTCCCCGCGGTCGCGCCTCTTCGCGCGGCTGGTGTCGCGGAGGGGGGCGGTGGGACTTTCGCGGGAGCCCATGGGAATCGGAGGCCCAAATCCCACGGGCACCAGAGGAAGGCTCCCAACTCCCTTGGGCCCCTTTGGAATGCCAGGCCTCGGTGCGCACAGCGGCCCGCGCCCTCGCGAAGGCGGGGGAGCGCAGCGCATCGCCGGGACAACGCTGAGATCGGGCTCGGTCCCCCCCACAAACTTCTGGGGCGCGGTGCAGCCTGCGGTGCCAGGCCAGGCAGGGAGC